TCAGCATCGCAATTATTGCACAAAGATGCTACTCGCATTAACATCACTTTCCTAATTATCACTAATCTAATTTGCATAAAATAAATATTACATTGAATAGTTTACACCGCCAAGCTTTGACTCATAGACTACCAGAACGGGCACCACCCTATGTAGCACTGGCACAGATTCTCGTGGAGTGTAGCCTGTTCGACCAGTCGGTCAATTTGTTCCTGCACACCCACCTCGCCAGTTCCAAACTCGCTACCTGAAACGTTACTCTTCATACCTAAAATTACAATTTGCCTCAAGTTTTTAGCAACAAAAAAAAAGAGATTTCTTTGTTGTTGTTCGTACTCTGACTCTTGTTTTCCTTCGCTTGAAAGGTCTTTCGGCAATTATGGTCTGCTTTTCAAAATATAAAGACATTACTCGAAAAATATACCCGCTAATTTGTGCTTGATTCGATCAATGACTCGTTCTCTGACAATACGAGGAGCTTCCTGCAGAGTTTTTCTCCTAGTTACGTCGTGCTTCTCACCAGGGACACGTTTTGTTCCTAAAAGTGATATATTTTCAGAGGAGGGAAAATATTTGAAGCGGATCATAGATTAGCTGTCTCTAGCAGAAAAGTTATATGAACAACTGTCTTTAGAGGTTCGAAGTATATCACAGTTCATTTGCCGTCATAAGCACGGGATTGTGGAAACAATAGGAACCAGTAATTTAATTGACCATACCAAGTAGTTTAATTCACGAGACATAGACTTCTACCTTCAAGTAATCTCCAGCTAATGACAGGGTCGTAAACGAAAGCTTCCAAGACCGCTAAGAGACTTTCGCGATTGGCACGGAGTAGCCGCAACACTCTTTCGCAAGTGAAACGGTAATTGCCTTCAATTCCAGTAACTTCCATGGCCTGCACAGACGGATAAATGTATGAACAGATGCGCATACGTTTATAAATTTTGAAAAAAGTGCTAGTAATCACCTTCACGAGCATTCGAGTTAATCGGAATGGAATTTTCTCGGGGAACTTCTCCCTAGTCATGGCCACATCAAAACAATCACCAAAATCTATGTGCACGATTTTTCCAGTCAATCGATCCAGCATAAGATTCGACGGATGCCTATAGCGGTGTCGTAAACTTGTCAAATCAAAAGAATCCACAATAACACACCTGTCTCCT